AAAGGAAATTTATCGGTTGTGATTTAACTTATTCAGCAACCAGGGAATTTATGCAAAAAAGTAAGCCAGTTAGGCCAGTTTTTAATAAGTTTTGTTTAGGTTGTTTTGAGTTGTTTAATTGTTAAAAGGTTTTGGTAATTCAGTTTGTTGGATTTGGGCGGTTTGTTCTAGGCTTTGTTGCAAACTGGACAAATGATTTTCTAATTTTAGCAGTTCAGTTTGCCTATTTAGAAGAGTTTGCATTTCCTCTTTGGTTAAACTGTCTTCAAGAATACTCTGATAAGCTTCGATTTTACCACTTAGTTTATCCTGGAGGTAAATTTGCGTTGCCTGTTCGCTTTGCTGATGAGCTTCTAGTAGTAAGTCAATTGTTTTTTCTAAACTAGTTCCGGTTTTCTTTTTCGCAGAGTTAACTAATTGCTCTCATTTAGCTCTTTCATTTCGGACCTGTGGAGCTAACTCTTGAATTTTTAGCCTTTTGATTTCTGCTTCAAGAACAGAAAAATTATAGGTTTGATGAGGCAAAAGAAGAGCAGAAAGCTGTTTTAGTTTATTCTGTTCCTGTTCCAGTTCTTGAATTTTAGCAGACTGATCGGCAATTTGTACTTCTTGTTGTTCTTTAATTCGTAATTCACTCTTGAGAATGATGTGTGCTTTTTCTTTGGCTTTGTTTTTAATAACTTTAATTTTTTTAGCAAAATCTTTTATTCTTCCGTACTCTGTCTCTTCCGTTATTCCTTGCTCACTAGCAAATAAATCATAAATAGCTTTTACTTTAGCTTCTGGTCTTTTATCAACTGAACAAGCAAAATCTTCAATACTATCAGGCAAATATTCTAAACCACTATCAATGTTGGTATTGCTAATACTTAACTCTCGTAATTTAGAACAATCATGCAAAGTTTCCAAGGAGCCGCTAAAAAAAGTATTATCAAGATATAATTTTTCCAAATTACTAAATCTGCTAAAAATGCTTAAATTACCCTTTAGGGGATTATTTTTAAACCAAACATAGGTTAATTTCTCACCAACTAAACCAGAAAGATTAATTTCAACAAAATTATTTCCAGAAGCATTTAATGAAACAATACCAAAACAATCATTTAGTTGTAAATCAGCAAGATTATTATCAAAACAAACAACTACTCTTAACTTATCTAAACCATTTACATTTAGACCAGTTAATTTGTTGTCATAGCAATCCAATCTTTCCAAATTTATAAAATCACTTAGTTCTAAGTTGCCTTCTAAGTTTTTTCTGCTAATATTTAGCTCTTTAATGTCTTTTCTTTCTTCTTTAGGATATTCTTTATCCAATCACTCTTGAGCGTTTACCATAATAGTTATATTTTTAGATTTCAATTAAATTTTGCTGATATATCATATAAAATATACTTATAGTTTTTTGACCAAATATTATGAAAAAGTTTAAAGGCTCTCGTGTACGCGCAAATATCTTGTTAATTCTTTTTCAAACTCAGTTTGTGCGTCCAAGGCTTCTCTTTCCATGGCTTGTTTAATTTCACCCGAGCCCAAATCAATTTTTTCTCAACCATTCTTTTCGGATATTTCTTCTCCTTCGTGAGTGTTATCAGCTTGAGCCAATTTAACATTGCCTTTGACTTTGGCTACTTTTAAGAAACATTCACCACAGAAGGCTTGTTTGGTTTCCTCATTAGTCATCCAATGTTCATCCAACTGAGAAGTTCAATACACTCCGCAATATTGACATTCTTTCATTCAATCTTCAGTTAGAAAAGACTGATTTGAATTCATTGGCGAATTCTTTTCACTTGGTTCTTGCTTGCTTTCAGTTGCTTGCTCTTGGTTTTCCAATTCATTTTCCATTTTGGGGATTGGTATTCCAAATTGCTTGAAAGATTCAATATTGGCGATTACTTCATTAATTTGCTCATGCTTGTTAATTCCGCCAATTTCTGGCTTGTTGTCTATATTATTCATCGTAAACAAAGCACATTCATAACAATAATTAGTGGTTTGGTTAATTAAATAGATATCTTTGGGAAAGTTGTCTTGTTTCTTATTCCGACAAGAATGGCTGAGAAAAAATTGATTTGGGCTCGGGTGAAATTAAA